TTCCTTGCAGACTCCATAGCCCATCACTCTCCCTCTTACCTCCCAAAGAGTCTTGGATGAAAGATTGCAGTCTGCTTTGACTCTTGCTGGCATGAGACTGCAATGCAATGGCAGCGTAGGAGCAGCACCTGGGTCTCTACCTTCACACAAACTCTGGGACATGGATGTTTGGTTGTATTGTGTTCTCTAACTGTTGATACTGCAAATTCAGCCTTGCATCTTACTCATTTTCTTGTAAAGAGCTCAAGAACTCTTACAGATACACATAAAGTATCTCAGATATCTCAGTATTCAGTACCTCAGATACTTTGAGGTGTAAAACCCAAGCCTGGTTTTGGAAGACCTCTTGGCTCCGAACAAGGAAAAAAAATTCCGATACATCTTGGGATACCTCCTGACAGCTTTTGAATATACAATCTCTGGCTGAATTTCTGGTCTCGCCAGTATCCCTGAAACCCTACACATCCATGCTTCTGGCATGACACTTCCAGCAAGGCTGCAGACATGCAAGAGAGACTGACTGACCTAGAGTACATATAGCTGCAGGTCATAGAATGGTTTGGGTTGGAAGAGACCTTAAAGATCATCCAGTTTCAATCCCTAGACACCTTCCACTAGACCAGGTTTCTCAAAGCTCCATCTAACCCGGCCTTGAACACTTCAGGGATGGAGAATACACAGCTTCTCTGGGCAACCTGTTCCAGTGTCTCGCCATCCTCACAGTAAAAAACGTCCTCCTAATATCTAATCTAAATCTACCCTCTGTGAGTTTGAACCCATTCCCCCTTGCCCAATCACTCCATGCCCTTGTCAAAAGTCCCTCTCCAGCTCTCTTGCAGCCCTTTTAGGTACTGGAAGGTACTCTAACATCTCCCTGGAGCCTTTTCTTCTCCAGGCTGAACAATCCCAGCTCTTTCAGCCTGTCTCCATAGCAGAGGTGCTCCAGTCCTCTGATCATGAGAGACTCTTGAGAGTAACGTCCAAGACTTTGGACCACGCTGTTGCCAATGTGCATAGAACCCCTTAAAAATACACCACTTTTAATCAGAAGTTTATAAAAATTTCCATACCTTCCTGTGTGGCCCTGGTGAGCTTGGCTGGAAGTCCAGGGCCAGGTAATCCACACTCCCCGAACTCTTTTTAGGTGCTGGACTGTTGGTACCACTAGGAACAGGAGAAGCAGAAATGGGGTTTTGCTAATGCAGGGAAGAGACAGGAGAGATAATGAGGATTAAAATGGGAAGAAAGAAAAAAGGGAATTAACTCAAATCTGGCAACAAAATGCCTAGATGGCACTTTTAAAAGAACCTGGATATTTGGTTGCCTGCCTCTGAGATCAGGCTGTGCAGAACTGCTGGGGAAACTATATCTGTTGCATATTGTGCTAACAAATATTTCAAGTTCATGCACTTGATTTCATGTATTAAAGCAGTTCTGCTGCCTTTGTGCTGATTTTATTTGCACGTCTGACAAGAGACGTGGGCGTCAGTATGTCACAGGAACCACACCTCAGCGAGGCCAGGCCAGCTCTGGGATCTTCATTAATCACAACCATGCTACACAGAGCACAGATTGCAGCTACCCTCTTAGTTACACAGTCTCAAAAATATTCTTCAAGTCAGCAGCTTCATGAACAGAGACAAAATCCCCTCCCTATAAGCAGTGCTGCTCCCTGCTGCTGCTCTGATAGCCCCTGCCCTCCACACAAACATGATGTCAGCAGCTATTGGGGGAAAAATGCGGGAAAAAAAATCAGTTTAAATTAGGAAAATACACCCTGACAGTCCTTAGACGTTTTAAACCCCTCTTAATTCCTGGCAAAGTAGGTGATACATGTTTCTGCTCTCACATACATTTAAAACCCCAATGGGACATGTCATTCTCAGAACAAAACTCACTGTTTCATGCATGTAGGGATGTATGTAAGGATGTATACCACACAGTGCTATCTGAGCACTTCCATATCGTGGTCTAGGAATGCATTTGCAGAGCTGGGGAATGTATATGTCCTGCCAGGGCCACGTATCATAGGTGTGGGGCCCTTACCATCGCCACGTAGTTCTCCTCGCTGTCTCCTGAGTCAGTGCTGGTGATGCTCTGGGAGGAGACAGGGCGACAGTACTGCAGAGAGCCGGCATTGAAGGTCTGGCTGTAAGGACAAGAGTCCATGTGTTACTGATGGTTGCAGGTTCTGCTTGTCCATGGCCAAAGAGGGACAGGAGAGGGGCAGCTCCTGATGCCTACAAGCATCACTATGCTCCAGCCTCAGGACTGGGCATGAAGAAGAGCTGGTGGCATGGGTCAGAACCCACTGTGTTTGGTCTTCTCACTTTTTTTCTTTCTAGAATTTTTTAATATCATCTTGCTTTCTATGTACTCGTAACTCTTCAGCTATCATGTACACAAGTCAGGCTCCATGAACTCTTTTATCTCACGGGAAACATTTAATTGTAGAGGATGCAGAACCAGTCTTGGTGAAGCTTCTCTGACCAGCCTCACTACAGTTGCAGAATTTATTTACCATACAAGGCCCTATCCAAATTTTTTGCTGGAAAACAAATCCTCTGAGGAATCGTCTTGCTTTCAATTGGCCAAATCTAATTATACCAAACAACATAATGCAATCAGTGTCTGGCATTAAAGCCTATGTCTTAAAAAGCTATTTGTTACCTTTCAGTAAAGCCAGGGTCATATGATTAGCTGATAAGGGAAAAATCCATTAGCTTCTCCAGGGTCAGACATCTTGTCAATCAAACCCTGCTTGCTGCTTCCCAGTGCAGTGATTTCAGCACACAGCACTCATGCCCTGCAGTCAGTCTCCACACAATCCAATTTATTAGAGTCATAGCAGCCAAGCTTTGCTTCTGCCTTTCACTGGACAACATCAGGCTGTGAATTAGCAGCAGAGCTGGAATTGTGCGAATCCTGTTATTTTTGGCTGGCAGACATAGCTCTGAAGTGCTTTGGTTTAATTTTGCAGACTTCCTTCAGGCTAGGCTTTACTTTCAAGGCAATCAAAACATGGCTTAGTCAGACCCTGAGACTGTCACCCTGTGTTCTGAGACTACAGCAGGATTTTGGAGGGGATAGCTGAATATGAAATCATGCTCTACACTCCCAATGTGGCTGAGTTGGTCTGGCTCAGCTGGGTCATGAATTGTGGTGGACAACAAGTCCTGTGGCACAGACACAGCTCTCCAGGAGTTGTTAAGTGCTAGAAACTGGAAATGTCTTCAAGGGATCTTAATTAGCTGCTCAGATGCATGCTGGGCTTTTATGTGAAATCCCAGCCTAAACAAATTAATCTTCCTGCCAGCAGCTGTGATGTGGAGAATGTTTAATCCATGGCAGAGGTGACAGCATGGCTACATGTGGACATGTGCAAGACCAGAGAGCTGCTGTTGGAGCAAAGCAAGAATTCATCCCCCAACTGTTACTCACGTTGGCCTGGACCAGGATTTTGTGACTGGTGATTTGAAGGGAAGCTCATCAATGACAGTGTTGTTCCTCAGGTCCAGTGGTGATGGCTTTGCTGGAGAGGGGAAAAGCCTTTATTCAGAGGCAGCATGTTCTTAGAATTCAAGATCCATGATTGGCATGAGAGAGTCCCCAACAAATGGTTACTTCCCATTCTGCTAATCATCCCCCCAGTCCTCCTTGCTGATGACAAATACCCCTAACCAAAATTCCCATGCTCATTTATGCCAGGACTGAGAGAAAACAGTGAATTTCTTCTTCTGACCCACAGACCCAAAGTGGATGGGTGGTCCCAGAAGGGGAAAGTTCCTCCCAGGGAATGGTGATCTGCTAAAAATGCCCAAACCCCACAGTATAAACCCATTCATTAGGGAGCTGCGATAACCCATTAGATGGGGACAAGACCAGTGTCTGCTTGCCCTGAGCTGACCCTAGCTGGAGTGTTTTCCCATAGAGAATGGCAAAGGACATCTGCAAGATAACATGAAAGCTCTTCTCATCACAGATGATTCATTAGGTGGAAGAGAAGAGTGCTACACTGTAGACCCAGCCTGTGACCACAGTGTTGATGAGGTTAGGTGTTGACACCCTAATGGTGGGAGCCCTCCTCAGGATCAGCTTGGTGACCTGTCAGGATTTGGAGGATGTCGGCAAAGCCCTCAAGGAAGAACTGCCTAGAACCAGCCAGTAGGAAACATTTCTGTCATCTGAATGCAACTCTGAAATTTTGGGGTGGAGCATAGGTGCAGGCAAAGGTGGTGAAATCCTGCCCGCGAAATGCATCTCCTGTAAAGGCCTAGAAGCGTTTGAAATGGGCTGTTCAAGCACCATGAAAGTTGCATTTCCACTACAGAGGTCCTGAAAGAGGAAAGAGACGGGGAAGATTTGAAGATCAGACTGTGCTGGTGGTAGCAAAGTGCACCCCATCTGTGCACAAGATGACAGCTGTAGTCTGAAGTATTAGAAAAATAGAAGGATTCCTGGAAAGACTTGCCCACAACCAACCATTCTTACCTTTCCGGTTGGGTTTGAGGTTGCGGTTGACTGGTGGGGGCTGGATTTCACTCAACCGTCTGTGGCACTGTGCCACGGCTCCTCCTTTATGCACGGGAAGGGTGGCTGAGGACAACCCCACCAGGTCAAAGTGATGCGGCCCAGGGCTCATGGGGATGTAGAGATTTTGGGCATTGTCGTTGGCTTTCTCAGTGTGGATCAGGGGTGAGGAACCAGGGTTCATGGGGACGTAGTTGTCCTCGGAGTCGGTACTGTGGGAGCGAGCCACTGCTGCTTTGGCTTGCTGGGGGACAAATGGGAGAATGTGCTGTGAGTATCAGACACGGTTCAACCCCATCCCACTATAAACCTTTCATCTCATCATTACTGAACACACATCCGATGGTGGATCATCTCTAAAATCTAAGCACAGAGGGAAGAGATGGTCTGAGGGATGGTCCTCCTTGGCCACCACTTTGCACTGAGAGGGTTTACTTAGTGTTTCCAAGACATTGCAACATCCTGAGTTTTCAGAAAGGTCTTAATTGCCCAGACTTGAGCACCTTCTTGTGATCAGAGTGAGCTGCAGAAGCATGCTTAACCTGGAAAGTCTTTCTTCCCTGGGCTCTGGCCGTGACTAAAAAGGAATATGAAATGCTGTTTTAATGCAATTTCCAGCCCAGAAAATTTTAGAAAGTACACAAAAGTGGCTATGCTGGCAACCTATCAAAATTCAGCTCAGCAGCATCCCAGGCTTTCAGGAAGAAGCCAAACTTCTGGGCACTTTTTTTGGGCGCCCAAATCTCCAGGCAGATACACTGTGTAAGCAAAACCTTGCATACGGTGCTGGGTTAGGTGTTTGCCACTCTGTGGCTTTAACTGAAATAAATTATATAACCCTTCTTGACTTCACTCTGCAGGACTGGGCTGTGAGGTCCAACCTGGAAACAACTTGTCTCTGAAACTATAAGGTGCAAATGGTGCCTACAGTGTGGTGGCCGACACCAAGGCCAACTCACCAGGTAGGAGTTGTACCCATCATTCATCGACTCGATTGACTGCACAGCACTGCTGCCCCCATGCTGGGGGTACTCGTACGTCTCACAAGAAGAAGCTGCAACACAACCACAAATGCATAATGTGTTCCACCACAACTGCTAATGAAAGGTGCCCCTAACAACAAAATCCAGGCACTGGGAGGGCAGTATCTGTTCTTGTTGATTGAGATGCTGATAAGAAGACATGCTCTTTAGCCTGTCACAGACTCTCTGCTATGCTCCTTCCCGATTAGCATCTCTCTGATGCATCAGGACAACTGCATGTGCCATGCAGACCTAACCCGGTTCTGTCAAAGTGCTGCAAAATCCTAGGGGTAAAGATGTCAGATAAGGTAGATCATGGTGACAAAACTGGGTTAAGGGGGAGCGCCATGAGAGCTTGATCAGCAGATGTAAAGGCTGGTGGCCTCCAGTAAGGGGAGAATGGTGTGAGGAGGCTAAGCTCTTAGATGGGCCTGTCTACTACTGAGCACGGATTTGATGTCAGCCTAAATGTTGGCATTTGGATAGGAGGAGATGGAAGAGGCATTTCAGAAAGCTGTGTGTATAATTTACAGGATATTTTCCCTCCAACCACCTTTTCCACATTACTTTGCAACTATCTCATCCTAGGCACAAGGTTTGGAAAGGGCATGTTCATCCACAGCCCACCCATGGTCAATGGGAACAGCAGCTCTGCTGCACTGAGGATGTTGGGTCTTGGAGATGTGCAAAACTAAGGTTTTGCTCACGCACCTTGGTAAGCAAAACCAAGACTGTTCCAGGCTGAAGTACGTTCTGATAAACCTGGTTATGAATTGAAGTAAAGACAAGCTAAAAATGGTTGAAACCTCCAAAATCTGGTGAAGGGCTGCATGAACAAGCAGGTTTGGGATTTTGGTTCAAGGTACAATGCAGCCAAGCTGAGTAGGAATGGTGGGCAAAGCCCTGGTGATGCTTCTCCATGCCTGTTCAATACAAAACCAGGGCCATATCCTGACTGGGGAGAGTTTCTTTGTGTTCAACCCCCTGGTTGCTGCCAAGAGCACCCCAGCCATACCACAACCCACTGAGACTGATCTGCCCAAGGCTGCTAGATAGGACAAAGCCACCCTCAGCTCCCCAGCCCCAAATTCACCTCGGTGCAGCCTGCTGTTCTCCACTGCTGGCAGTGTGTTTCTCCGGGGAATGGTGGCTGCCATGGGGGCCAGCCCTAAATTTTCACCAGGCTGGGGCCGCTGGGGGGGGCTGCCCCACCGTGGCTCCGTCTGCCCAGGTTTTGGGGGCCGTGGGGGAGGTGCAGAGGCTGAGTCGCTGGCAGCCACAGCCAGAGCATTGTGGTTCTTGTCCAGTGTAAATGTCCTGGGGATCTGGTAGATGGAGAGTGGGGTGGCAGGGATGTCATAGGAGTCCGTGGAGAGCTCCCCAAACTCCTTGCATAGGGTGTTGTTGGGAGTTTTGTAGGTGTAGACCTCCTCATTATCCGTTTCAGAGCTGGTGAGACTGGACTTGGGGTGGGTATAGGAACCGAAGGAGCGTGGGAGATCGTACGCACTGTCCCTGAACTCCGAGTTGTGCCGGCTGGGTTTTGGCAGGCTGTAAAAGCCATGGAGCTGCCCACCAACCCCGTTCACGCAGTGCCCGTTGCCTTGTGAGAGCTTCTGGACTGCAGTATCACTTCTCATGAAGAAGGCAGACCTTGTGGCTTGGGAGAAGCTGGCACTCCTGCAGAGGAAGGAGAGAAAGGGGCTGAGACGTGGGTAGAGCTAGTCCTGGGGTGCAGTGAGCTCTGCTCCCTCTGTTTGTCTCCTTACTGACCTACACTGTCCAACTCCAGAGCAATCAGAACATCTCTGACCCCTCCAAACCTACCAAAAACCCATTTAATCCTGAAACACCTTTGGAATGCCTCTGTCACAGGTGGCAGATACATGCATCCAGCCTCATGAAAGGGCTATGAGCAAGTAAAGCCTTTTATCCAGACATAAATTGCTCCAAAAGGGCAATTTTCACATCGGTTGTGAGTGACCCAAGACATGGCTGTGAAGAGCCACTCCATCAGCACTGCCATCACACACTGGCCGCATACCTGCAGTACAGGAGGGAGAGTGAATCTCACCTCTGCCTTGCAAATGTGTTTGAGAGGGCCTGGGAAAATTCCGTATGGGGACTATTTCAAAATCTTCAGCCACATCACCATCCTGCCCTCTTGCAGGACAAGCCCTGGGTCGATAAGGAAAGTCCCCAGATGGAATTTGGGGTTTGCAGCTCTGATCTGCAGGGGAGGAGGAATGAACCTCAAGGATGAGTTCAGATTTAAAAAAGCCCTCAAGTCCCCCAGGGTGAGCAGGGCAGCATGGTCACTAGCTCCACGCCTTGCTAACGATTCCACAATTTGTACTGTGGTCATGCCTGGGGACACTAGCCAGGGTGGATGGTGAGCACTGGGGATATCTCAGTCATCGAAAAACTGCTGGTTAGTTGTCACTCCTCCACTGATTCCCTTCAAGGCACTTTGTCTCCTGTTTTATCCCTGCTTAGTCTTCCAATGCTCGAACACTGCAGAAGCTGATGAGACACATGGAGTTGGCTTTCTGCACCTATAACCCCTGCAGACATTTTCTTAAGTCAAGGGATGCGTGAATTGGCCACTTGGGACTTTTCTCTCCCCCATCCTCAACTACTGCCACCATGAAGCATCTCCCCATCCCACAAGACTTGGGGAAACATGAGCATTGCTGCAGAAGTTCTGGAACATGAGGTCAAGATGTGGCAGAGACAAGCACAAGAGATAATTAACCCATGAGAGTTAATTGACTCCTGTGAGGGTGGTGAGACACTGGAGCAGGTTTCCCAGAGAAGCTGTGGCTATACCAGCACTGGAAATGTTCAAGGCCAGGTTGGATGGTGCTCTGAGCAACCTGGTCTAGTGGAAGGTGTCCCTGCTGATGGGAGGGGTCTTGGAACTGGATGATCTTTAAGGTGCTTTCCAAACCAAACCATTCCATGATTCTATGATTCTATAACAATACCTTGCCCTGAACTGGCCAAAGCAGTATGGACAAAGAAAATATGGCAAAGCTCCAAAAAAGGGTTACCCTGCCATGAAGACCCAATGCATATATAGCAGGAGTAGGTAAGAGGTTAACCTTGGACTTGGCCTTTTTGCCTGCAGTGGTATAACCATGCATGGGTCAAGCTTTTGGGGACCACAAGCTCCCAGCCAGAAAGGGCTCAGCCAGCCCCATATAAATGACCCCCAAGGAAGAGAGTCCTGCCCTGTATCAATCACTGTGGTGAGAATAAGTGAAATGGTTATGGGGGAGTTTCCAGTTGTGGCAAATCACTGGGAAAGTGCCAGTCCTATGGGAAAAGCTGGGAGATGCTGGTTTATACCGGTCTGGCAGTGTTGCTGCTCTGCAGGGACAACAGGGACTCTCTTTTACGGAGCCAGCACGAGATGGCGCTCAGAAATAGGGCTTACATGGGAAAAAACAAGTGATCCTGTGATAAGACAAATGAATCCCTGTCACCTTTGCAGCTCAGTCATCCCAGAAGAGGTTTGGGTTCTGGCAGAGTCCTTTTGGTTGAGGACTCGAAACGTCTCATAGGTTAATTATTTAGCAATGCCTGCCAATTAGCTACTATTACCCTCATTTTATGGATGAGTAAAGTAAGAGCTCCAGAGCTGAAAGGGGAGGGATTCCCAGCAGTCCTGCAGCTTGGCCCTGTGCACTGGGCATTGATCTGATGATTATTTCTGGCCCAGTTGCAGAAGCAGTCATCAGCCAGTTTGTTTCTGCTTACCAAGGCATTTGTGCTTGCTCTCTTCTCCTCCAGGTCCCAGCCATGTTTGGACTCTCAGAGGGTAGTTTTTAGGTATCTTCACAGCTGGAGCATCAGAGGGCCATTTTTTTTTAAAACACTGTTCCATTAACTCCATCTGAAGTCAATTTTTGGAGCCTTTTTCTGCTGTTCTTTTTCGAGCAGGGAAAGTCAGCTGCAGCAGGAAAGCCCAGTGCAAGCTGCAGCCCAGGCTCTGCTCTCACTCCACACCAGCTGGGTTCTGACTGTCTCTCTCTCCCTCCCTGCTCGCCGCTCCTGTGAGCCAAAACTCTTCACGTCAAAAAACTCTCCTCGCTATTTAAGGCAACCGGCTGGGTCTGGAGGCGGAGAGCTGTCGCTTGCTCACAAATACCACACCATGCACCACCCGCCGCCATGAAGCCCAGTGAGCTCTGGAAGGGGTGAGCAGCAGAGTGGTGCAAACCCTGCCCATCCCTTTGTCATTCTTCTGGTTAAAGGTAGGAAATAGGGCCCTGCCTGCTGGATCACCAAGTGGTTGAGGTTGGAAGGGACCTAGAGAAGTCATCTGGTCTAACACTCTGCTCAAACAGGGTTGTTGCCCAGGACTACCCAGACAGCTCTGAATATCTCCAAGGATGGAGACTCCTAAACCTCTCTGGGCAACCTGTGCTAGTGGTCAGTCACACTCACAGTGAAAAAGTGTTTCCTGATGTTCAGAGGGGCCCTCCTTGTTTCAGTTTGTGCCCATGGCCTCTGGCCTTGGAACTGGGCACCACTGACAAGAGTGGCTCCATCCACTTTGAACCCTCCCTGCAGAGGAGGCCCCCTAAGCCTTCTCTTCTGTCAGCTGAACACTTCCAGCTCTCTCAGCCATTCCTTTTAGGATAGATGTTCCAGTCCCTTCATGCTCCAGTCCTTGAACTGGATCCAGTATTGACCCCAGGGGTACACTGCTAGTGACTGGCCTCCAACTAGACTTCATGCCACTGATCACCATCCTCTGGGTCTGGCCATTCAACCAGTTTTTAACAAAACCCAGAAAGCCAGGAAAGCTGGAAGCTTGTGAGGTCACCACTCTGACCTTCTCCTAACCAAAGTGAGATGAGGCCACTGCTCAGGGCTTTCTCCAGCTGGGTTTTGCAGACCTCTAAGAATGGCAATGAGTTGAATCACTCACCCCAAGCCCTCCCTCAGCTATCCCAGAGGTTTGCTCCCAGGTAGGCTACAATACCTTGCATTTTCTGACTTCCTGCTCATACACTGGTGGAGGAAAAGATAGTCCTGGGGGGCGCTGGCAGACAGGGTGCTCTGGAGGTGGCTGGCAGGTGAGTCGAAAGTGAACAGGGTGGGCTGGCTGGAGTGGGATGGTGCTGAGGACTTGTGTTCTCGCAGCAGGTGGTGGCTGGCACTGCTGAGCTCTGCTGGGGAAGACCGTGGTGCGTGGTTCATGGAGGCAATGCTCCTCAGGGTGTCTGCAAGGAAAAAGCACACCCATGAGTGGCAGATGCAGCTACCCCACATCCTGTGTTTCCAGGACTTTCCTTACTTAAATGCTCCGGCATTTATGGAAGTCAGTGGAGTTTGCGTATGACTCTGTGACGCACTCAGCTCCTCTACTTGGAGCACATGCAACTATAAGTACCATGTACAGAAATAATATTTTATCATAGAATCATATTTCATCATTTAATCATATTTTATCACATGTTTAGTGGCTTGTGGGAATGCCTGGGGGATGTCAGCCTATTTCATGGTGAGCTCAGTGGGTTGTTAAAACCTGATTTAAAAGAAAGAGAAGAGCTTTCACACTGCAGTGAGATGTGATTTAAGTCACCCCATCCCTCTGTATAAGGGTATCAGTTGAGTAAACTGAGGCATAGGGTAGGAGTATGGATGGACATAATGACAGCAGACATAAAAAAGTATTATTGTTCCCCAATTCTCTTGATTTTGTTCCTGCTGCTAATAAAATGGGATGCAGACTCAAGGCATAGCTCCTAGTGCTTGCTCCCCTTACTCGAGGAGAAATACACTTTCAAATATTAAATCCAAGTCAATGGAGAATATCCCAGAGGTCAGAAATAATCATCCCGCTACTCCAGTTCTCTCATAAGTGTGCTTCAAGAATTTGAACCAGGGCTGAATTTTTACAGCCAAGCTGTAAATCCCCAGTAAAAAACCCCAAAACCTAAACCCCAACAAACAAACAAACCCACAAAAAAGCCCCAAAGTCCCAGAAAACCCACAAGCTGCAGAATATTTTGGGAAAGTTGATGCACCTCTGGCTGCAGAAGACCACACAGAAGACCATGCATGCACTCCTGGCATGTGAAAAAACACTTACTGTGGTTCACGGAAGTCACACATTATAATAGCTGTGATTTATATTTATTTGGGTCTGATGCAAAACACAGCAAACAACAAACCCTAACAAAAAGGGGAAATCCAACCATTTTCTGGCCACCACTGATTTCAGAATGGCTCCCAGATTTCCCTGACAAGGTGTCCACCTGCTCTTCAAATTTGACTTCAGACACCCATGCTCCAACAGAGAAATGAGGGTGATTTTATAGATTTTCCAACCTCTTGTTTTACATTCCTCCCTCAAATTCCAGACCCTACCAGAAATCTTGGGCTTGACTCTCTTATGCTGTAATGAAATAAGTTCTCTGTGAAACAGCTGTCATGGCTTGGACAAGGAGATGCTCCACACAGAGTGATTTTTCACCAACTTCTGAATCGTGTCAAGATACAAAATCAATCTGTCTGCTGCTTGTTCACTGCTGCTACAATTTTTTCCTGGCAGTAATGTAAACTTCACCCGATGCAGAAAAAGTGCATTAATAAAAGCCAAAGAGCTTGGCTCGACTCTGTTGTTTGGTTTGTGCTAAACACAAAAAGGATCGATATTTAACATCGACATTAATGGTGGGGGATGACAGCTTAAAACTCTGATTCCTGTCTTCTTTGCATGGGCATTAAAGATCCCTTGGTGCTCTTCATGGGAGTAAATGGCCATCTCAGTGTCCTTGGACAAAACAGTGCCTTGACCCTCATTCTTATTAAATATTTATCTTGTAGCAGTGCAGAATGATCCCCATTGGAAAAGGAGTCTTGAGAGCTATGAAAATCTCAAAGTCCTAAATGAAGTGCTTTGAGGCCAACCAGGATGAGACACTCCAAACCCACACTGCCATCAAAAACAGGGTGGCTGCACCCAAAGTGCCACTCAGGAACAGTCCCCCAGTCTTGCTACCTCCTGAATCACAACCAGGAATTGCCCGTGACATTGTGCATTGGCCAAGACCCTTTGAGGATTGTGTGAGGATAACAGCTTAGTGTTGCATCCCCATCCCAGCATGGTCACAACTATGAACTGCACTGGGTTTGGGGTCCATCCGACAATCCTGAGCTGTTCTCCCACACTATTCCTTCAGGCTCTGCACTTGCCATGGCATCAAAGTGTCATGGCAGGGCAAAATACACCTGGGAGTAAGAAATGACACTGATTTATTTGCGCCAACACAGCCTAAGCAGCAAGATGGGGCTGTACAGAGGAAATGGTCCCCAGCATCACCCCAGGGCACAGCAACTTCAAATCACATCACTTAAAGGACCTCTGTGAATCCTGCACTGCCAGGAAACCCTAATCTTTTCCCAAAAATCAGTCTGATTTGGGAAACCAGGGAGTGCAGCACAAAGATGGACTCGTGAAATCAGGATGAATTACTCCACAGCTACTCTGACTGCATAAATGAAAATGGGGGATGAAGGGGAGCAGGAGGCAATGCCTGGTAAAAGCACGTCGCTTCCCTGGGGAAAGCCACTCTATTGGCATCTGCATTGATTTTCAAAATGAATTCCCAGCTCGCTTCCCACAGCGACCCAGCCACTGAGAGCATTAGTGGGAGCCAATTCAGGACTCACATACTCCATTAGGTCTGTGAGATGAACTCCATAATAGCAGGTGAGAGATGGATTGCTTTGTGGGGCTGGGAGGGTATTGCAAGGGCTGAAAAGATAAATCCTGTGGAAGGAGACTGCCAAGATTGCTCTGGATGTTTTATGTTATGGGGGTTTTTTTGCACTAGAATCAAGGCCAGCTCATGTGCCCAGGTCATACAATGACAATGGGACTTGCTGCGGGGCAGAAAAGGAGGCAAGAAAGGAAACTGAGGCAGAAAAATAGTATTTGATGATTAGTACATGCTAAGGGAAAAGTCAGGACACCACATCACCTTGAAATGCAGAGAGGTCCTCATGAGGGTAAGGCATACATGAGGGTAAATATGAGCCAGAAGTCCCAAAGTCTTTCCAACTTTCCAGGCTGCAGCGTCTAGCTCCCAAGAGATGAGGACCAACACTCCTTTCCCACATCCATGCAGGGCACTTATTGAATAATATCCATGGGATCCCATCTGGATGCATCCAGGCATTGGTCACACCCACATCATGACCAAAGATGCTAAACTCAATCTGTCCACAAGCCAAAAAGAATGATGCTTCTTTATCCTTCATGGCCATCCACCTTGGGGCCATGGCCCTCCTTCATTTAACAGTGGAGACACAGCCTTCTCATCCCTGGGCTTTACATGAAGATCTTGAGTTTAGGTTGAGGGAATGTATGAAGTATAGCCAAGGAGGGATAAGATCCTGTGCAGTTCCTACTGCCATTCCCAAGGGGGCAGAGTTCAAGTTATGTACTGGGGCCATGTGGGAAATGTCATCTTAACTCCACGTTTCCTGGCCTGTTCTCCTCTGAGTTCGGGGAATTGGACTCTCACGGTCTGGAAAAGGCGGTGTTGAATGCCCACAAGTTAAAATTCAATGTCAGCAGCATGATTAGCACACATGCATCTTGCTGGGCTTGAGCTGCAGCTGTTGCACTGGCCCCTGTGAGAAAGTGAACCAGAGGCTTGGTAGGGAAAAGTCAGCACAGCCCTGCAAAACCCCATGGTGCCAGGTGGGCTTCAAGCAGCTGAAGGCTTGGCACTCACTAGTCCAGGTTAAGATGTGCCATGTGATGCAGCAAAGTGGGAAAAATTTTGCAAATCCATCCCCAAAGCAAACATCCACAATTGTGACCATGGCCAGCAATGGGATGGACTAGGCTGGGTGCCAGGAATGTTTTATGAATGTTTTCAATCCCCCAAAGCAGTATTTCCCTCCTTGTTGACAGCTCTGAATTCCCTTGCTCAGAGCACTTGACTATTGCTGTGTGCACATAGCTTTACACCTGGGCTTATCTGAGTGAAATAATAACTCAGCCTCCTTCAGAAATTGTTGCTCAGAGTGTCCTTTTTCACCAGAGCTGCACTACCAGCTTTCCCTGCCTGAAGACAGAGGCTGGGACTACAACTCCCTGTATCCCATGGACTTGAAATGATGCCCCTGGGAAGGTGTCAATGTTTGGGTGTAGCTAAATTCCTGTGCTCCCATAGATGTTTGCAGCA